CACACACACACACACACACACACACACACACACACACATACATACACACATGCCGGCCCATTCAAACCGTACAGCTCATACATGACTACAGGTATGGTTTTTTTTGTCAGTTTATTTATAAAGCTTGATTACTTTTAGTTTGATTGTGGCAAACCATATTTGTTACAGCTCATTTTACTTTGTGATTTTTGTGTGATTGTGGATGTTTTAATGCTGAGAGGGTGAAAAGTTGAGGCAGAAGAGAGGAGCAGTCAGCGTGTGAACATTCATGTTAATCAGATGAAGTGATGACTGTGCTGAAAGTTTTGTTTTTTCATTGTGTAACGCCTGGCCCACTTTCTGCCTGGTGAGGGTGTGAAAATAAACAACCCCGCTACTTAAATCTAACAAAGTCGTCCATTAAAATCTCGACAAAACACAGACAAGTGGAGGAGCTTTAGCATCAACGGTTGGTTAAAAAGTGTGTTTGCAGGCCTGACCGGCAACTGATTGTCAGAATGATGAATGAGTGTTTGCATGTGTGTGTGAGTGTGTGTAAGCTAAGTGTGTATGTATTTTGTATGTTTAAATGTGTGACAAACAGATGAATGAGCCCACAGTTATTCTCTTGTATCCTCTGTTAATAAATCAGACGGCAGTGTTGGGGGTCTGGCTCTAAATCCCCTCAGAGCCACCGAACACTCACACAAAAGAAGGAGCCTCGTGTGTCACAGCTGGAATACAATTATTGTACCTGCCTCTACTGCATTTAGAAGAATTGATGTTGTTTTAAAGAAAAAAGTTAACCTTGAAGAAGTATATAATAAGAGGCTGAACCTCAATTTATTTGAGCAAAATGTTGTGCTCCTTAACATGAACAAAATTCCTTTTAAAAGTCTGAATGTAAACTGTAAACAATAAAAACAGTACAAGCAGCTCTGTATTTAGTCCCTCAGCCAATCTCCTTTAACCATTTCCAGGCCATTTTGTATACATTTGGAAAAATTAATTATCATTGCTCACATTTAACTTCAACTTTTGCCCCCAAAATCTTTCTTTTTTTTCTTATTTTCCAACTTTCTCAACATTTCTTAGCATTTACTTGCCCTTCACCTATATTTGTCCCATAATATAATCATTGCTTCAGCTGTGGATGTCATGAGTTTCCTAAAAATGAGCTGAAAGCCATAAGGAGTAAACTAAAGGTGAACATAAAGTCTTAAAGGTTTCCCTCCCTTAAAATGTCATCATAACTGACTGTAGTAATAAAAGCTAAAACCACAAAACAAAACCCAGAACACAAACTGTTGGAAGATATAAGCGTATTTTTCGGAGCAGATTTGAAAAGTTAATTATAAAAGTCTGAATTTTATTCTGTGGGAAAAGTTGTCTGTATCAAACATAAATTCAGTCATGAAGGAAAGATGGATGTTTTCTTGCCAGGCTGGTCATGTTTTGGTCAAAGGTGATGTTCTAGCTAAATGTCAGCCTTCAGCAATGAAATCTGGCTAATGCATTGTGAAACATTTATATATTTTACCAGCCATTCGTTTTCTGTTCCTGCTTGATCAGGGTCACATGGAGCTGCTACTTTTCTCCAATCACAATTATGTCAAAACTATTAAAAAAAATCACGTTTCCAAAATATGACCTAGACAGGGGCATGGAAATGTTTGTACAGTATTTTTTTATTATTCAAAACAGAATGATTCCAGAAGTTAAAGATTAATCAGCGTGAAACTTTTACCAGAGGTGGGACACAGCCCAGCACACAACCATTACCTAAGACTTGATGTCAGTCTCAGTTGAGCATTTAGGATTAGTTTTACTCCCTAGCTTCCATTATCTGCAGCCAGCATTTTTACATTTCATGCTTAAATGAAAAGGACCTTTGCAATGTTGGATAAAAGAAGAAAAAATTCAGATTTAAATGATGACCTTTGTTTGTTTTGTTTCTCTTGATATTAAAATTTAAGTTTTTGCGCTTTATCAGCAATCATAAGTACAACACTGTTTTATCAGAAATGTTGACCTTGGACCTCTTATGATGAGGTTTGAACAATCAGGAGCAGCAGCAGAAACCCCAGACAGCTGTTTCAAAGATGAGTGAACATGTTTCTTTTGCATTTATTGGTTTTTTTTTTTAAAAGAGACCCAAAGAGGTCAGACAGGCCCCTAATAAAATTAAGAACAGTGTATTATTACTGTTAGTTTGTTGTTGAGAATCTGAAGCATGTACATCAACATATTTCCCCAAATATTCTGCTGTCTTTGCTGCCATCTATTGGCACAAATAAAAACTATAATGAAACAAGTTCCTATTATTTAGTTCAAAATAAATAGCCATAATTATTTTTAGACAACACAAAATACATCAAGCAACAATTTCAATTTTTTTTATACTTTTAATAGTTAAATCTGTTATCCAGCAGTTTAAAAAAACTGTCACTGTTCCTTCTGTTGAAATAAATCTGCATTAATAATTTACGGTATTTAATTTTTCACGTACTTTTGACTACAAAGAACAGTAAATACTGGTGTTGACCTGAATTTATTATTTTTTTAATCATTAAATTAAATTTTAGTTCAGTCTTTCGAAGACTGCGCTTGCGCAAATTTGGAGCATTGGCGTGTACCTGTTTGACTCGAAAATCACAGCTTCTGATATGTCGCATTTTAGTTGCACTTCTGTCAGGCTATAGTGCAGTCCAGATTAACTTAATATTTCTTCTTAAATACAAAGTTAATTATTGCCTTTTATTAGCTTGTATATTATACAATCTCAATAGCGGCCACGGACCACACTCATTGCAAATCCAACTGTTGTAGCTGCTATTTCCGAGGTAACTCAAACGCAGCTTAAGACCCGGAAGCATAAACGTGAAAATTGTAAACACGGCTGCGAAAGCTGTGTATTCGTTTGTGAAAGATGGTGTACGTGTCCAACGGTGAGTGGATTATGCTATTTTTTTTACAAGTGCTTGTTAATATTAAGAGTGAATATATATGGTTATAGAAATACATATACAACATTTAGAAACATACCAAAACGAAAGGTGGCGTTAAGTGTCAGTAAATTTAGCTGATTAGCTTGTTAGTTAGCTTAGCTTGTCTGATTCGACGTACCAGTACCGAAATAAATTATTGTTGGGCATATTAAACAGTCGAATTGATTTAGGTGTTTCCTTAAACTGTTTACAGGTCGGACAGTAATCTTTTTTCTTAAGTAACAAATTAATTTGTCTCCCCGAAGATCATGTGTTCGGGGAAATGACATTGTTTTTCTTGATCGTTTCTTAAGCTTGTTAAATTGTATTTCTGATCATCTAAGTTTTAATATGTGGACTGCTAAAAAGCAGTTTCAGAAGAAGTGATGGCATAATTTAGTTGAATGTTAACGAAATTAGGATTAGGTTATTTTTAGTAGTTTCTGCTGTTTCAGTCCGGAACCCTTGTGTGACAGGTCAGATCCTGAACAGCAGGGCCCAGTCCCCATGGAGGCTGTCGTTACTGGTTGATCTTTTCTGGGGAGCAGTGGAGTTTATTGGCCTCTTGTGAGTATAACACACTTTTGCTGAAGATTTGCATTTTACTTGAGTATCAAGTAATGTTATCACTTTTTATGTACTGCAGTTTTCATTCATTTTGGTTTTTTTAGGCTGCTAAACAGCTGTTTTTAAGAAATCATAGGTCCCAGCCTCATTAGGGCCTCTGTTGGGGTTTACTTAATGTACTGAGTCCTAATTTAAAACAGTTAATTATTTTTTTTCTGTATTCTGTTTCTCATTTTTTAACGTAACATTGTCTACATTTTGTATTTTTACCAGTTTTAAGACAATAATTCACCCTGACCTATCAACCAGAGCTTCGTCAAGCTTCAGTGATGGCAGAGGGTAAGTCCCAGAGGTAGTCATTTAGTCACATTCACATTGAGAGAACATGATTTACATGTTGCAGCTGCCATATGTAAAAAAAAAAAAAAAAAAAAAGTTGTTTATTTAAATTAGGTGTTTACATTGGGGCACAAGTGGATTTTGTGATATTTGTCTCAACCCTTACCCATTTATTTAAATTGTTAAGAACGAAAAGCTACAGCCCACTTGTGCAATACACATGTCCCAAATGTTTACATTTGTAACTTCTTATTCTTGTTTTGTAGCCCTCCAGGTCCCCCTGGTGGTAGAAGGCGGATGGGAAGAATAACCTATAGTGCCGGTCCCAGCCCTCCACCAATGGGTGGAGGAGGATGAGGAAGGTAAGAAAATACATGTCCTTAATAAAAATTCAGACTTTTGTGAAGCTAATAGTGTATTTACTTTCAATTTGAAAAGTCAGTGTAGAAAGTTGATGGGTATGTCACATGGTGAATAATCATCCTGTTTTCTCTCTAGGTAAATGCCTACACATGCAGTGTAGGCATGGGGTCTTACAGTGTCGGTTCCCTGAGAACGTCAGTGCTGTAGCCCCTCTTCATCAGCTGCCACTGCTACCAGCAGTTTTTTGATGCCTTTCTGGGAATACCTACACATAGGAGCCAGAATGGTTGATACAGCAGCTATCTGCACCACTCCCCACACTTTTTTTTTTATTTTTTGCTTCTGCCTTTTACTGACTTCAAACTTCATTCTGGTTACGGTCAAAGCATAGTTTGGTTTGTCTTTATTTTTACATAAAAATCTGAGTTTAGTTTGTCTTTTCACAGCTGAATGTCATTATGTTTTAGCTTTGCTGTATGTAAAGCAGGAGGATACCAAAAGTTCAAAATTGTTTTTATTCCAATTTCATATTATTTAATGTTAAATCGAATCTAAAATGTTGATTAAAAATAATGTAATCCTCAAATGAGCAAATTTTATTATTTCCCATTAAATACAAGAGTTTATCCAAGTAATCCTGGTTTGTTTACAGTTCTCTCAAACATGGGAGAATTACATAATTATTTACAAAACAAACAAAGCTGCCTCTCCTGTTGAATGTAACAAAGTTACACAGCACTGACTATCTTTATTACAAACCACCAAGAAATGCCAAATATCTCAACACTGCTTCACATACAATTTAAAAGTGTTTATTCTATGTCACAGTATCACCAGGAGAGTTTCAGGTAAACTGGGGGGACAAGAAAGGGGCTTCACCAAACGAAAGCAGCTCTTTCTCTGAGCATTCTGACACCGAAACGCTGCCACTCCCTCTGATGGATCCACATCTCCTGCGTCGTGTCCAGACAAGCAAGCACTGCTCCCCCCTTCCAAGATATCAGCCGGGGGTCCATGTCCTTCAGCACACACAGTACAATAAGTTTAATGTATTTAGTCACTTTTCTTCAATACAAGGCGCATAAAGTCTTTGACCCCTTAAACGTTTTCCTGAGCTTCACAAACCACTTTTTAAAGGGGCAATATCATGTAAAATCAACTTTGAGTTTTATATCATGTTATAATGTTATACTCTCATAAAATACATGCCTAAAGCCTTGCTTTGTCTCATTCATGCATGTCTAAGAAATCCTGCAGCGTTTTTAGGCAGCCATGCTGAGGAGCAAAACGACAGGTGGTGACCAGAAACGCCTCTGGGTTGTGTCCTTTTGGAACAGTCTCCTCTGGGATGTGTCTTTAAGCTGAACTTCCTCATGACAGGGCACCCCCCTGCCACACACACACCCCGCCCATGACTCCTGCAGGCTCTCGGCAGTAACAAAGCAAACAACGGGTGAAACTGAAAGTTTACTGTCTGCTGAGCTCCTAACACTACTTCTCACTCAGTGAAGGTATTTTCAGATTCAAAATACCGTTGAGGAAATGTATTTTCAGATGCCAAGTAAACTGCATCATCGTGTGCTAACCCCCCCCCCCCCCCCGAAATGGGCGGGACAGAAGCGGAAGGTGGTTCTTAAAGAGAGAGACCAATTTCAAGGCGTTTAGCAGAGGAAGTGATGAGAAGATAAGTTTATTTTCTATTTAAACATAAAAACAGCATTTTAATAACAACTAAAGGTGACAGACACTTTATGGTATTGTATTTAAATATACACCTGAGAAACACATAATATTGCCCCTTTAAGTTTTATCCACCATTAAGATTAAAGCTTATAGTAGTTTAAAAATATAACCAATGTGCTCTCCTGATGGATACAATAAATCTTATGTTACCTTTGGTCGTGTGATAACCTCCACATTATCGACCAGCCTCCTGAAGGAGGGCGGCATCTTGTTGATGATGCGATGAAGCAGAAATTCCTGAGCGCCGTGAAACAGGAGCCCTCCTCCTACAACCAGGATGGAGCTGTACATCTTCCGTTTGGTCTCATCTGATGCTGATGGAGAGGAAAAAACACTTTATTTTATTTCTGTTTTGTGAAATAATACCTAAGTATTATTATTATTGTTGGTACAAATTTCTTTTTTATCTGTAACTACAAAGTTTTTGTTTTCCCTCCATCTACTTCCTTACCACAGCAGTCGATGCTATGCAGGACTGCTTTGTCCAGTCCCAGTGCTTTGCTCTCAAACTGGCTAATAATGGCAGTTTTCCTGGAGAGGTGAGTGGACAGGGGCTCTTCCACTTCTCCCGCTCCGATCAGACAGTCCCCCTGGGCAGGCCCCAGTTCTATGTCCCCATGCATCACTCCACCTCCTCCTGCGTTGGAGCCGACACCACTCCCACAGCCCCTGGGCATATCAGACATCTCCCCCATCCTTCCCTGGCAGCTCATCTCACCCTCCAAGCATCCACCTGGTCTGGAAACAGCCTTCCGGTCTGCAGCAGATTTGGAGGACTGATGGAGAAAACGAATAATAACAAAAAGATTAAAATAACCAGTGGATCTGAATAAATTTAATTTAGCGAGTAGATCTATTTCCTTACCTGATCCTGCTTGTTCTGTGTGGCCAGTAGGTAATGTTCGTCATGAGGATCTTCTGAGTCACCTTGGGAGCGGTGTTGAAGTGATGTCATCTTCTGACCAACAATACCAAATGTGGTTGGGTAGAAAAGACCCATGGGTGCCTTCAGCGGCGACACAGACACAAGCCATAAAGCACGACAAAAAGACAGTGTCATGTATACAGTTTAATCTTGGAACGTAAATATTTAAAAACTAAATAATGTAAAAATCATTACAGATCAAGTCATGAACAGCCAGGTCTTATCAAAGTTTTAAAAAGACACCTGTAGTTTTTCATCCCCAAGTCGAATCTGGAACAGAAGAGCTGGGGCCTCTGGGAAACGTGTCTGAAATTCATGATCTTGCAATCCTGATATGTCCTGTCGAAAACAAACACAGGAAATAGTTAAGAACTGAAACTCTGAAAGCAGTTCCAAATGACTACAACCACTTTTTTTTAAATAAAGTTAAAAGAAAGTCCCTCAAAAACTTAATTCACAGACAACATCCATCAGCCAACACAAACCTGATCTAAATGGCAGAAGGTCTCTTTTAGATGCTGTAGGAGCTGACAGTCGTGTCCTCTGGTCAGCTGACAATCTCTGTAGGGAAAACCGGCTCTCTGCAGCAACCAGAAGAAAGTCCTGGTCACATCCGATCCTCCATATGCCAAACACAATCTGCAGAGTCCAAAACATCATACATGTGCAAATTAAAAAAACTTTTGTTATTAGCGACAATTCAGACTTATTTGAACTGAGCAGACTATAACACCTGATTAGTTTGTTCACTGCTCTCATCAGGACAGTAGAGGGGGCAGGCGAGTTGAAACAAAGCAGAGCTGCTGCTTTCTTCTACAGGACTATTGCAGCAATTAGCTTAATATGTTTAGCATAGCAATATGCCTGCCTGGTTAGCTATAGCTAGCTAGCTGTAGCAGGAACAAATTAGTGAGCTAGTGGAGAAGAATTATGACCCCAAATTCAGTAAAAAGATTCACAACTTTTGCATGATTCGTTCAGGACTTATAACATCACGAGCAGTGCCTACCGTGAGTTCCGGTGAGACACTCCGTCCTCTACACAGCAGATACTGGTCTTCTGGTCGCCTACATCCACTACACAAGCACTGCTTAACCCACTGCCAAATGTGGCGCATACTGACTCTTGGTGCACAATGATAGCTACACACATATACACAGAAGACAGACATTAATTTGATGCTTAGCAATATAGATTGTAAGCTACTGTAGCCCATTGAAAATGTTAGGATACATTAATATAATAGAGCACAATATATTATATATATGCTTCGTTCAGTTTTGAATAAAGTCACGTATCTGTGTAATACCTGAAAAGCCCATGTTAAGCAGCAACATGTTGACCATTTCCTTCACATGCTGTCTGTTGTAGATGTCAGGAACCAACAGGATGCATCTGTAATACTGAAGGTCAGTAATGAAAAGAAAAATTAAGCAATATTGTAATAAAAGCCTTTCCACAATTTTTGTTGTTTGGTCTGATTTGCCAAGGTTTAATAAACCAGTCCCCTGGTACGAAACTAGGATCTGGTTCTTTTTATTAAAGAACATGATCATCCATAACTACTTGAAGCAGTTGTAGGGTTGGGTACCGAAACTCCGTTCCAGTATGGCACCGGGGCGAACATCCACGGTAGTACACAGACCGAAACACAACTCTAACTTTGGTGCTTTATTTGGGTGCCTCAAAGAAAACTGTTAAACTGCGCCCTCTGGTGTTCACTGTTAACAGTGACAGCCTCTGCACACAATCTCCATGGACGCTCTTGTACGCGGTTCGACTTGGCTCCGTCTCGGCCCAATGTGTCTCCAAACGTGCTCCACAGCCGCGCTGTCTCTGAACCTCCCCTCCGGTGGTTCGGATAGAAGCGAGCACGCTTATGATTTTGACATCAGCAGAATTCTGCCCATGGATTAACTCTTGGATTGACTGAAGGCAAATTTCCTCCTGGAGAGAGCTGCTTTTGTTTAGGAATACGAGCGTGCTGCTCGATACGACGACATGGTGAAATAAAACTGCCTTTTTTGGGAAAGGCAGAACTTGTAAACACTTCCTGGAGAGAGGTGATGGAGACGAAGCTGAGCAAATCACGTGAGGTTTCGAACAAACTGGCTGCCCCCGAGCACTTAGCTAAACAGCACCGTGATAATTAATTAATAAATAAATAAAAGTGAAGTCTGAACGGTAAGACCACAACAGCTTTTTTATTTTATTTTAACACAACAACTGAAGCCGCTGACGACGGTCCACACATTATCACACCCACACAGTGAGGGACCCACAGCGTGGAGACACACTGACACTGAGCAGAACCGACCTGACCCAAAGTGAATCGAGTGAAACCGAGTTCATGGAGAGGGGCTGAACAGGTGCCGCTGCAGTTAACCGTTATATACTATATATTATAGTTGAGATGTCGAAAGCAAAATGGTCCAAAGTGTGATGTCACTTTACAAAATAAGATGCAGAAACTTCCACCTACAATAAATGTTTTRAGAATATTTGGTGCAAAGACAAATTATTAATGGTTTTAAGTTAATAAGTTGGTCGATTTCAAGTTTGACTTTGATTCAGAAATACTCATTGCTTCATAAAACTCTGTGTGAGTGTTTTATTTATTTATTTTAAAGTACTGATTTAAATACCGTTTAGGAACCGGTACCGTTTTGAAAGTATCGAAATAAAACCTTTCAATACCCAACCCTAAGTTGGGAATTTCGAACATCCATAACTGCTTTTTGAAGCAGTTATGGATGTTCTGCTGCTTCAAAAATGTACAATTATAAATCTTTTTTATCTCTTCTTTTGATATTTATTTGTAGTTTAAATACATTCAGAAGAAAAGAAGTGAAAAGATTTCTCCAACCTTTAAATCTTTCATGGGGATGTCAAGATGCTTCTGAATGATGTAACTCCAGATTGTCTCCAGATCAGCCAGAACTGCAGTCAGAGAGCCTCCAGGACCGGAGTGTATGTTGAGCTGACCTCTGACAATGGGCCAGTGGATGTTGTAACAGTCTGATGGGTTCACATACAGAGCCTGAATGATGGCATGACAGAAGAAGGTGAATAAAAAATACATCAAACAGATTAAGAATTTAGTTGTTTCCTTTTTAATTTTTTTTACACTTTCACTAACCTCCTCTCCCACCAGATAAGGAGGACATTGGCTTGTGTTTGTCCACTTCACCCTAGAGCTGCTGTCTAGTATGGCTGGACGGATCTGACAGTTATACGCTCTGGCCTTAACACAAACATGAACATTAGTACTGGTGTTATCAAAAACACACTGATGCTAAATAAAATGCTCATTCTCACAGCCATAAACATCATTTTTATTCTTTGCTATAACCTGTAAAGTACACTGGCATCTTTCACCGCTTCATCATTTTTACAGATAACAGAACTGCTTCTCCTTTTAAAGGATTACATGTAGTGACTCTCGCTTTCAAACAAACCTGTTCAGCAGAAACAGGAGTCCTTCTGACACCGTTTGACATCTTCTTTGACCAGATGGCCTGGTCCACCATTTTAAGTCCATTCTGTCTCTGCTCATTACTCTCTGGTTTCTGATGGACATGAAGTCAAGGTCAGTGGGGATACAAACAGCAGCATTTCAGGGACTGAAATTCCCATATTTGGTAAAGAGTGACTTACATTTAGACCTTCTCTCAGCAGCCATGCATCTTCAAATCTGGGCTGCCCACTTTGTTTATGTCTGCGTGCAATTACATGAGGGACAGCGACTGGGAGAGTGTCTGTCGCTCGGCCGATTCGAAGTGTTCTTGAGCCGGGATGGATCACAATGATAAAATTGCTCTGTATTTGCTGTGAAAGAGGAAGATCATTAAAATACTCTTGCTTAAACACCATTGTACTACTGGAAAGACTAGTGTATCATGATTTATGTAAAGTCAAGTACTGATATTGATACTGGTAAGGTTTGAATTGGGATTTTTGTAAAAGCAAGAATGTAAAAGAAGAATGCAAAAGTTACTGTATTAGGTTAAGTGTATAGAGTAAAATACAGAAAAAGGCCCAAAGTGACCACATGCTATGAAAACTTGTATACAGAACGGTACATAGAGATCTGAACAAAACCCTGCTTATTTAATATTGCTTGTTTGTATTATCTGTGTTCTGACAAAACAATGGGTAATTAATTTATGCACGTTTTTATGCATGTGGTAACCTTGGTTTTGTGTTTCGAGGATTATGGTTGAATGTTGTCAAAGCCAAGCTGATGGATCAGTTGCGTCAATACCAGCACATTTCAAGTCATGTTTTAGATGAAAAGATACGTAAATAGAGCCTCTAGTCTCACCTCCTGAAGAGTTTCAGGGATGGCCGCAGGAGCTATGGGTCTTTTCACTCCGCGCTGCTGCTCCTTCTCTTTCTCCTTGTCCCGCTCTTTTTCTTTCTCCTTCCCACTTTCCTGTTCCTTCTCGGCCTGAGTCATGGTCACCGTTTACAATTCGTCACTAAATTATTACAAAAAACGACTTTCCAACTTTTTTTTGAGCTCATGTGCATCAAATGCGACGACACGTCTCTCACCTTCCAAGTCAAAAATTTACTTCCGTGTTTTTGTCACGTGGTACAAAACAACAATTTCTATTGGTCAAAATGCTTCCGCGGTATTTTATTATTTTCATGGATTTCAAACCTTACCAAAGTATTCAGTTAATTGGGAGGCAATTTTACAATACCTTCTTTACTTTCTTTCAATTTTGCAACCTTTGTACTTCTTTTTCTCTTTTTTCACAAATGTAATGTACGTTAATGTAATAAACTTTAGACAAATGTATTGTTGTGGAAAAATGTGTACTATAAATTAAAGCATACCTTATGATTTCAAGTGTATATTATTACTATATAGTGTTTCATGTTTTGTTCCTGTATATACTTAGTAGATGACCAAGGGTCTGTGACTGTAGTGAACACAATTCTCACTAAAGGCTCCTAAAAGAAAAGTGACCATGGCTGCCAAGACTAACACAAGGCAAACAAATGTAGCAGGTCAAAAACATCATGCTGTAACGCACATCTGAAACTGTTCAAGGCAGGAAGCTCCCTCCTTTGAGGTGCCAAGTATGAGTCAAGATCCTGTTTAAAAGACAACAGTTCTCCAATGACTTTTTCACTTTCTTATTTCTGAAAACTATAGAAAATTGTTTGGTCCTTCTCAAGTAAATCAATCATTAAATGACCCACAAACACAATGCATATTACACTTTTTTTTATTAAAAATAAACTAAAACTACACAGACCACATATCGTTAATGAGGACCTCATTAGATAAGTTTGACTTACATCCCCCTAACATTTCTATAGTTTCCCTTAACTTTGTCGTACTGTTTTTACTGTGGGAAACTCCTGGTTTGAACAACAGAGATGATATCTTCTTCCCAACATTCTTTTGGGCATGAAGGCTCTCACAAAAAGTGTTCAAATCTTTCATCAGACAGAAAGACCTGCATGCTTTCAGTTCTGGCAGAAACACACAAGACTTCTTGTGCAGGTGCACCACCCAGAACTTGGCCAGCTCACTGGCGCTCTTTGCATGGCTTGCAACCATGTTGAGGATCAGAGGGTAAAGGTCATGAGCTGCAGCTGGGATGGAATGCTCTGGAAGGTTGTGGTTGGGAGAAGACTGGCTGAGCTGTAAAGATGACAAGAACACAGCAAACAATAAGAAAAAAAGTCTTGTTTTTCATATTTATATGACAATTTCATGAATCTTTATTGCCTTGTTTTTAAATTATAACTGACTTAATGGATGTTTCTATCAAAAAGATGCATTCACCAATCAATTCATTAGTTCATACAACTTAGATAAGCGACAAATTGATTAGGTCATATTACTAAAAATACATTTTAGAAAATATTAATCCTAACACAGCGAACATTTAAAGAGAGCTAACTTACAGTCTCCCCTTGAGGCGAGATGATCAGCACGCGGTCTGCAGCCTTCGCCTGCTCTGTTAACCAGCGCAGCGGTCCCAGCTCGGCAATTTTTCCCTGCTGCCACATGTCGATTGTGACACTGCAGCCGCCGTGCAGCTGTAGAAACTCTGCCAGTGCAACCACGGCACGCTGGAAGACTGAATTCTCAGCAGGGTACACCACAAGTACAGAAACTGGAACTGCAGGGAGGCTTTTGACTCTCAAAAGTGAGGCAGATATGCAATATTTATCTGAGAAACAAGAGATGAAAAGTATGCAAAACATAAAAGTTATTTCCCTTCAGCATCAAGACATTCTAGCAGAAAAACAATGATGCATGCTTCAGTTGCAAAACGGCCAGGCTAGTTAAGGCTAATCTACTTTGTAAAAAAGACAAAAAGACAGCTGTAAAAATGAAAGGATGCTTTCATGGAAATGATTCATAGCCAAATTACTTGAGAAATCATCAAACAGGATCAGCAGTTAAGCTTTCTAGATTTGCTTAATCAAATTTAGCGACAAAATAAACTGCTGCACATGCAGAAGATACATTAAGTGCTCGTGTTCCCTTCACTATTTCTGCGCAAAAAAAAGTTTTATTTACAGATTATGCAGCAGAAACTCAGGGTTGTCAAAGCGATCAGCAATCCAACAAGGAATACAGAGACAGCTTTAAGTCTGTGTTCTGCAAAGGCAAACATGAGAACACAAAACAAATGTAGTCTTCCAGATGGTATGACATGAAATTAGCAGGTTTTTGTGTACACACTGGGAGTGTTCTGATGAACTTTTTCACCTGGAGGAGGAGCAGGAGGAGGAGGAGAATCAGTGGAGGTAACATCTTAAGAGGAAGAAAGAAAAGATTGTCGTGAAAAATATTACACTTAACATTTAACAGAACTAAAAAAACATAACCAAAAATTTAACACAAGACATTTTTTGTTTTACAAATACTTGAAAAAAAAGATTTAGGGGTTTATTTCAGGAATATATAATATTACAGAACTGAAGCCTAAATGAGAGGGCATTTGCAGATGAACACAGGGCTTTGATTCTATGTGTTACCTTGAACACTGAACTCAATATTGTCTTCAACTTCTGGAAGAAAAAAATACAGTTATAATTATTATTACAATGATTATCAATTAGACAGTAGAAAATATTGACTTTTCAGATGAAGTGTGCCTTTGTTGCTTAAAGTAACAAACTACCTTGAATTGTACGCCACTTAAAAATAACTTGCTTACCTATTTGTTGAGATGTTGTTGTCAAATCTGCTACATAAAAAGAGAAAGGGAAAGATATTCTTAGCATGTTTATTTTTTATTATTAATGAATTAATTCATTATTACATAAAAACATTGTTTTGACTGCAGTGGAAGGGAAACAGCAAATACAGCCACATCCTGGGTTATACACCCAACAAATCAACCACAGTTTTTAAGACTGGCTGTTACATTTATTCTGATATCTTCCTTTATTTTATGATTTTTAGTCATAATTACTTTAAAGCATCAATGTGTAAGGAAATACTGGACACCATACAGGAAAACAGTGGGTACAGCTTCCCCTACACGGCAAGTTTTATGTCCCGCCATCACCACGTAAACAAACAAGACTTTGTCCTCGTCAAAGACAACAGGGACATTTGGTCCAGTATTATAATACATGTTGATGCTTTAAAGTTGAAAAATATATTATTTTTCTAAAGCTTTTACTTACATTCTGGTGGAGGAATGATTTCAATGTTTGTATACATGGGTTCATGTTCGCCCTCAATTGGAGGCAAAGGGAGATTGAAAACCTCGATTTCATAGAAGCCCTCTCTTGCATTTATTAAAAAATGAAACCATACCTAAATTAGAAAATTTTAACATTCAAGATTCAGTTTATTGTAATAAAACAGAAATGCAGGCTAAAAAAAAGTCAGTCAATCAGTTTTGTTCAAATAGATGTTGGTCCTACCTGCTCTGATCCAGTGAGATCTGCTTTGGAAAAAGATGGGTAGTATTCACAGAGGTAGAGCGGTTCCCCTGAAATTTTAAGGCAAGTACCTGTCAGGTAACGATTACTAGCTGCAGAGACAGAATAGGACAGAACTGTTTTTAGCCTTGGGGAACAATGAATGTTTAAAATTCAGAACAGAAACATAAAATCTTCATGCCACACTGGCAACAACATGGAACACTGTAATTAAACCAGAAGTTCTTCAATGCAAAGTTTTATTTCAGCGTGTGCACTTCTTGCCTCTTATGTTCCTTCACAGATTCTGAGAGCATCTGATCAGCTGCTTTGTTGAGTTTGTTCATCCAAAAAAACTAGGTTGACACTCAGAGGTCAGCCTTTTTCCAGTTACAGCTCAGAAACTTGCCTTCTTCAAAGACTTCTTCACTTCATGTTTCTGAATCTCTTTTAAAACCACTTTTAAAATGCCAATATTTAATATGCTGTGAGTTGATTATGATGTTGTTTCTTACATCTTTGCTTTTGCCTTTTATGATTGTAAAGTACTTATGATCTGTTGTTTTTAAATGTGCTGTGTATATGAACTGACTAGACTTGAGTTGTCATTTTCTTTACATCAAACACATGTAGAGTCTTTCCATTGAGCTCAGCGGAGCATGTCGTTCTTCTAGTCCACTGTAAGTGATTGAAGATGCTGCATGTTTTGATTTTAATACTTCTGCAAACATATAGTGCTGATGATGTCTGTGCATAGGTGAAACTCACCTCGTCAAGTCAAAGTCACTAACAACATAAATAGTTGCTTCTTACCATCAACATTGATTGCCCAGCTTATGTTCAACTGGATTTCTCTTCCCTTTGTCACCTGCACAACATTTAACCCTGCCACCTTGGATGGACTTGCTATGATGCCTTCGGGGGACAAATCTGAAACCATAGTGGAATTCACTTTAATCCTATTGATAATCAATGATAATAGTGTGCTCTGTGATCATTAAGCTGGTATTTATAGCAACTCGCAGGACAAGTTTGGTCATGAATGACATAACGTAACAGAGCATAAAAGCTGTCTGCATCAGTGTTTCCAAATCCTGAATCCAAGTGCTAAGTTCCTCCTTCAACACAAGAAAATTAAAATTAGATGCACGTGGAAAGAGCACACACTCCCACCAAGACCCTGGGGTGACACACACATGTACCCATTGCAAAATTGCAAAAAGCTGTAACACATAATCATTACCATGGTGAATCACAATCCCTCCACCAAATCTTCATCTTATGTTCTTATGTAACAACATTTCCCTGAAAAATGTATCCAAATCTGTTCTGAGGAAGATTTTGCAGACAGACAAACAAACCATAATCCTCCTTGGTGGAAGTTATGATGTACAAATTTCTGCAGAATTTGTTGCTGAAGGAAAAGATGATCAATAAACGCAACGCATTCTTACCATCTAATTTTTCACACGTCACTTTCTGCAAAGAAACAACAGAAACATGGGGATTAATAACATCACATTAACTTTGTGCAAATTTGACGCAAAACAAAATAACTCACAATTTGGTGGGAAGATGCCACCTGACACGCGACGTAGCAGAGGAAAAATAATATTTTTCGCCACATCGTCGGCAAAAAAGAAATTGTAAAAAGTCAAAAGACAAGAAAAACAAGCGAAATATGGTCTGACTGAATCAGACTCTACTGGGTTGAGGTGAAAACGCTGATGCGTGGCCACGCACCTCCCGCTAAGCCACGCCCACATTGTCATTTTTTTATTTTTTTTATTTTTTTGGCAGTAGGTCCGAGCGCAAAACAAGGTAAGAAGATTTACGCCGGTGTTCGACAAATTAATTTGTTCTCTTGTGTGTGTTCAACGCGCGTGACAACTTGGCTTGAATTAAATGGAACTTCCTGGTTCACACGAGCTCCTCCTCGTGCTGTGGAGTTCAGGCTGTTCTTCTGAAAATAGCTAACAAGTAGTTAGCTGTTGTGTTGCTGACTGTAAACAAACTGATGTGCTTGGTGTAGCTTTGCTAACCTCTCGTTGTGTTTTTGAAGTATAAATTTAAAATCAAGCGTCAAACTATTTATGACAAGTGTGCAAAATGCAGTTTTATCAATCATACATTAGACTGCAGGAACAGATCATAAAACGTGAAAAGTTTGCGAAAAAATGGCTTTTAGTCTTTTTGTTTCGCAGTGACTTGTGGTTGCACATTAAAAAATTAGTTTCATTCTGAAACGTATTAGTGCTTTATTAGTTAACCGAAATGACAGTTTCGACTTGAATTTCACCTCTGCCTTATTGATCTCAGTGCACTAAAGATCAACTTTCAGGGTTGCCAGATAGGCCACATATGGAGCAATCATAATACTGACTAAAGTAGACTATTAAAGCACATTTTCTGCAGTAATACTTTGACTAAATTACTGTGCAGTAAGAGTAAAAAGCAGAGTTTTTTATCTTAATTATTTTTTATTTGTTGCATGATATGTATTTAACCTGCCTTTTTACATACATTGAAGTGCTCCTGAGTTTGAAGTACTGTAGCCTAAATCAGACCAGTTTTAATGTAACTAGAGGGCACAAAAATCATCCTTTATTGACTTAGGCATAGAGATTTCTCAAGATTCTTCAGATATTTTGATGATATTATGAACTGTAGATAATGGGATTTTCAAAATATTCACAATTTTTCAATCGAGGAACATAATTTTAAAAAAGTTCCACCGTTTTTAGATGTGGTTTTCTGCAAACTAGTGAACTTCTGCCCATCTTTACTTCTGAGAGATTTAGCCTGGCTGACTTGAACCCATTTAGCTAATTTGTTGTAAACTTTTTCTCCAGATGTTTCCACTTTTTACCACCTAATTTCACAATTCTTTGTTGCCGCTGTCTCAACAATGGATTGGGTTGATTATGTGAATAATTTTAACTGTATCAAAATTCAATGCATGTTGGCCATATTTTTTATGTCTCAGTTTTTATCCAAACGTTAATATTGCATTTAAATTTGTGCTGATACCGTTCATCCAAATCTGATCTCACACTGAGACAAAAAGACCAACTATGTGAAATGTCTCTCTTTTTCAGGAAATGTGTTTAAAAACACCCAATTCAGTGTTCAGCTCCTTTCCCTGTTGTGTTTATTTTGCTTAGACAACGAGTCATTGATGATAACAGAGCTTTGTAGAAAATAAGGGCTTTGATGATTGTGTTAGGCAGACCTGGCAACTTTGATCTGAAATTAAATATTTACAAGATCAGACACTTTATTGCAGGCTTTGTTATCTTAGGGCAACTTGAATCTATACACATAAGCACTTTTACACAATAAGTCATGTGCTCAAAATGATCATTTCAAAAGTCTTTGCCTGATTTTTGTATAAATCTTGAAAACAAGCATGACTAGGTAAATAAAAATAAAATACTTATTAAAGCTGCAGTCTGTAACTTTTTAATATATATATTTTTGACATATTTGTTAAAACTGTCGCTATGTCCTGACAGATTGATATTAGACAGATAATGGCTGTGTCTCAATTCAGGGGCTGGGTCCTCATGAGTGCGCATTTGTCGGCCGCATACGTCATTGCCCCGCGCGGAGGACTGTCCCAATTTGAAGGCTCCTCATCATGCGGCCGAGGAATGCGTTCTACTTCCTGTCGAAATCCGAGGATGCATCCATGTATCCTTACCAGCCGAGGATATCCCAGGATTCAATGCGCGGGCAGCAAAGTAATCTGAGAAATGAAGACGGTGGAGTTTTTATTTTTTTAACGTGTCGGCGCAGTTTGGAAATTCACCACGGACCGAAGGATTTGTTTTTTAAAAGTAAGTTTAGCAACTTAGCTGATGAAATTTATGCTGCAATAAGATGTTAAATAAAAGAAAATGCAACTACAAGTTACAAGAATAAAGTATTATAAGAATAAAATCATAACATTACAAGAATAAAGTCATAATATTATGAGAATAAAATCGTAATATTACGAGATTAAAGTCATACTACAAGAAAAAAGTCTTATTATCCTAGCCTTTACGTGAAAAAGCATGCAGTCATCACTGCATTAAAATGAGGATGTTGTCAAGTTGTTCTTTATTGTTTATAAATAAATAGTTATCTTTTAGCACCCAATTATCAGTAGCAGGACATGGAAATTGTGCAAACGACTATATGATAAACTGAACCTGTATTGTAATTAATAGATGCACTGACAGATTTAGTCGTCACGTAGTTAATTTGGAAGAAATCATATTAATCTAACAGTGATCCAGGTCATCATGGACTACTTTATAAACACAGAGAAACGTGGCTGTACACAGAAGGTATGAGGGGGAAAATAACTTTATTTAATTCAGCAAACAAATAACAAAATAAATAAATAAAAATCGACTTGCGACCTGTCCAGGGTGTACCCCGCCCCTCGCACTGTGACTGCTGGATAGGGGTACCCGTGACCCATGCAACCCTGAAAAGGAAGAAGCGTGTACAGAAAATGGATGGATGGATGGAAATAAATGAAAAGAAAAACCAATAATAGAAACAAACAAATAATTAGACAACGTTGTGTCAAAAAAACAAATTCACAACATATTCAAATGAAAAGGAGCAGAAAGAAGAATAAAATCTTATAACATCTGCCCCAATAAAAAAATATGTAAAAAATGTACAACATACAAATAATAAAACTCAACTTAATACACAATATAATTTAAAATAACTTCACAACAAAAATACAAATATCAACCAAATCTTTGTTCATATCTCATTAAAAAAACTTTTAAGCATTCTACTAAATGAATAAATTGTTCCAGCATTCTTAAGGTCACCAAGCACTGACTTTATTCTCATAATATTACAACTTTATTAGCATATTATGACTTTATTTTTGTAATAATAATAAAAAATATGTGTGGCCCTAATACTCCGTTGTAGATACTGGAGCTAAACCCAAATTATTGTTTTCTTTATTTACGTTTACCTTTTTAACTGTGAATTTATTCTTCCAGTAAAAAGACGTGTAAACACGTCCCGAAGCATTTCAAGTCCGACATGAAACTGATCACTATGGTAACGGGGGAGCACGTGGTCACGCAAACCTACGTGAAGCCAACGTCAGGCGAAGGCTGGACCGTCTCATTTCGCAGCAGTTTTGAGCATCCTACCCAGCCCAGCAAGGATGTGGCCTACGTGGCCCAGCTAGGCTGGGTTCTCATGAGGACCCAGCCCAAGAATTGAGACACAGCCAATGTCTGGGGGGAAAAAAAAAGGGGGGGGGGGGGGGGAAGCCCTCTGGCTCCTCCCGGAGGTCCTTCTGCCCTCTGTTAAAATCTCTCCGACCCGGAGACAAACAGCCAATCAAAAATGAGGTTTGTCTCATGCACGAGCTGTACTAATTTTACCCGCTGTAAATCCACTGTACTGTCTATGAAGATGTTTAAAACAGTCCTTGAAGTCCACACTCAGCAGCCTGCTCTGACCAGAAATGCAAGCCACAAACTGCCTGTTGTCTTCAGCATCATCTGTAWGCTCAGCTACAGATCCTCCTGGCCAGAAACAAGACTCCTGYCWGCAGAATATATGGTTTGATGAGTGGAAGGTAGGGTTGAGATGCAGATGTCCTGCTGAGGTTATCAGAAGCTGAACCCACGCTGCTGCGTCTCCCAGTGACCTGTGTGATTCTTCATCACAGCCTCTCTCCATCAGCTGGTAGATGATGATTGTCAAAAACTAGCTGCATAGCATAAAGATAAAATGTCACTGTGCAAAGCAAGAGCTGAAAAATACTAATACACAGGCTTGTCATTTTGCTGAAATCCTAAAGTGGTTCTGAAATCTGGTCTTTGCGACCCACTATCCTGCATGTTTTAGATGTTTCCCTGCTCTTCAGCAGGTCTTTAAGTTCTGCAGAAGCCTGTCAATCACTCATTCATTTAAATCATSTGTTCCAAAGCAGGGAAACAGCTAAAACATGCAGGATAGTGGGTCACGAGGACCAGAATTCAGAACCACTGCGCAGCTTCGGTGTTGTGTTAGCTTGATAGCTATTTATAACTTATAGAAAGAGTGCAACATAATTTACATGTAACGTTATGACAAAAGGAGCACTTGTGTAGATAAAGTATGGGCAAGACATGATAGTTAAAAATATATTGTTGATAGTTTGTTCTTACCTGTGACGGCAGCTTAGCTCTGACCTCTGTATGTTACGGTGTGGCTCACCTCATGTTTACAAGCGTGCGCGCTCCCGACTCTGGGCCCTGCTGTGGGGGAGGAGCTTAGGAAGGGGAGCTGAGAGCAGGGGGGAGGGACTACAAGGTTGTATCTGTTCAAAACTTTTCTAAGTTTTTTGGGTTTTCAAGAAACTACATACAGCAGCTTTAATTTCTAGGGCTCCAACTTACTCGTTTTTAGTTTTGTAGCAAATGATATTTTTGAATTTCAAAGGAAAACAAGAAAATGACACAAATAACAACAATAAAAAGTCTGAATCTTAAAAAGATAATTGAAAATATATGAAGTTGTGTGTGCACTTTGTTCAGTACCTTCAGTTTTACTTTTAGTGCTGCATTAAACTTACCTACTGTGGTTTGTTCATTATAAAGTGTTGTTGTTGTTGTTGTTTTTACAGTGATTACAGGAAATCTTCCCATGATGCTGTCCTTGGCCACAGTTGGTCAAGCAGGAGCCCGAAGAGTTTTGACACAAACCTGGGTGAAATTCATAAAGGATGGCAGGTGCGTCTTTAGCTAGCCTGGCCCTTGTCTTCCTACGCAGTTCCGCTCAATTCTAGTTTCCAAAATCAGACACATTCTGTATTTATTCTAACACTTTCCCTGCTACAGGTGCTTTACTGCTTCAGCTTTTCATCGTTACTCCTCTACATCGCCTTCAGCCAATCAGAAAACACCGTCCTACAGCTATGTAATTATTGGGGCGGGGTCAGCAGGCTGCGTTCTGGCCAATCGCCTCTCAGAAGATGCACATGAGTCTGTGTTGCTTCTGGAAGCCGGACCGAAGGACAAATTGCTCGGAAGCTCACGACTCTCATGGAAGATCCACATGCCAGCTGCCCTGACCTACAACCTCTGTGATGACAAGTACAACCAACACATTACTTCACTTTCAGCCAAACCTAACGATCTGATGTGTTGATAGCAATTAAAATGTTTTCCATTTATTTTATTTTCATTCTTTCTCAGATATAACTGGTTCTACCACACTTTACCTCAGGCCAACATGGACAACAGGGTGCTGTACTGGCCAAGGGGCCGTGTTTGGGGAGGGTCCTCCTCACTTAACGCCATGGTTTACATTCGCGGACATGCTGAAGACTATAACCGCTGGCAGAGGGAGGGCGCAGAGGGCTGGGACTACAAGCACTGTCTGCCTTACTTCAGGAAAGCTCAGTGTCATGAACTGGGCCAAAATATGTAATTTAATAAAACTCCTCAGTGATTTTTTTTCTTTTTGTTATTCTGTAGAGTAATTATCATACAGTTTTTGATTATGAGCTTCATTAAGTTCAGTTTAGTTTTTGTTGATGTCTTTAAGGGAAATTAGTTTCCAACAGGCAGTGTAAATATTAAAAACTCAAAGAACATGTCACACTCATTCTGTTCAAATTGGGACAATAACTGATCACAACAATGTCCTATCATTCCTCAGTGCTAATACGTCCATCCAAGCACATAACCTAGAGGCATTATAAATATTGCATTAAAATGAATTATCTATCTAAATAACAAAAATATAAACTATATATTATTTTAAAAAAACCTAGAAAGTACTGGGTTCCTGCAGATCCTAAGGCCTTAATTAGCCTTAAAATGTCAAATCAATCTTTCAGAAGTCTTAAAAATGTTAACACGTTGTAAATAGGATGACTGTAATTCATCTCAAATATTAAAATAATTGGTAACATTTATATTTTTAAATATTTGCATGCTGACATTCCCCTTTGACATCACTTCCTGTTACTTCACATGCAAATTTCTCAACAACTGTCCATCTGAGCAACGTGAAATTCATTCTGTAATATGTTAATAATGTTGCCTTTCCAAAAATGCATTCATTTTTCGTACAAATTTTGATGTCACAGGCGCTTCAAGGTTTCATCCACAGCAAATTGGGGTTAAGACCCCACTGTGGGTCCTAAAACTCCCAAGTTTGGGTCATTAAACTGACTGCTAAGAATGTTTTTCCTATATTTAACGAAAAAGCAGTTAGATATGGATAAAAACAATTGGTCTATTAGCAAAATATTTGAATATTTCAACCAAAAATACTTTGATTCATGAGTTGTTGCTACAGTTTTTATTTTTGTCATTTGTGTTTATTATGAACATGGTCTTAAATTTAATTTCACTTGGCATTAAAAAGTCTTTAATTTAACTTGATTAAAACTGTAGGAACCCTGAAGTAGTCTAGTCTAGGTCAATTCGGTTTAGGTCATTGATACTCAGCTCAGCAATGGCAACAGGAATGAAGGAAACACTCCCACAGCGGTACATGCTAAACAGGTGGTGATGGTCATTTTTCACCTTTCTGGTTTACAACTAAGTGTTTTATCAAAACATTAAACTTTACAGGCCCAAACCATCAAACATTTTAAAGATTGCAAAAAGTGCAACATCGTTCCCAGCCTTCATAGTAAAAACTAGTATATTTTCAGTATTGATCATTACCTGCTTCAGTCAGACTTGGTTTTTAAGATGCTTTGTCTTTGTGTTTGCTCTTGTTTCTGCAGGTACAGGGGTGGCGATGGACCTCTTCATGTGTCCAGGGGAAAGACAAACCACCCTCTTCACAAGGCTTTTATTGAGGCAGGGCAGCAGGCAGGATACCCCTTCACTGACGACATGAACGGCTACCAGCAGGAAGGTGTTGGCTGGATGGACATGACGGTCTATAAAGGTTAAAGGGACAAAACATTTACATCGTTACTGGATCTTTGAATGAAGTAACGCTAAGAGCACCTAGTTGCTTTAATTGTTGTTTTTTTATAATTCAAGCTACGTCAGGCTTTGAGTGTTCGAGATTGTCTGGATTGATGACACAAAAATAAACTGATAACACTTTGCAACTGATTCGAGCGCAGTTTTTGTTGTGCAGGGAAGAGGTGGAGCACGGCCAGCGCCTATCTAAGACCTGCACTGGGTCGACCCAATCTAAAGGCAGAGGTGCGCTGCTTGACCACCAAGATCCTGTTTGATGGCAGGCGAGCTGTGGGGGTGGAGTACATGCAGAACGGACAGAAGAAGAGAGTAAGGATTATAAATGGACAGAATTTTAGTAATCAACAATAAGAACTAGCATCCATTGAATCGACTAAAAATGTCAATTTATTTTTTTATCTTCAGATGTAAACTTTTTTATATAAAAAACTGGATTCATTGAGATTTTGTGTTTACTCATGTTTACTTTATTCCATTTTCTCACAGACTGTTTGTTTATTTCTTCAGGTGTTTGCAGATAAAGAAGTCATATTAAGTGGAGGAGCCATAAATTCGCCTCAGCTTCTCATGCTTTCTGGAGTTGGAAATGCAGATGACCTGAAAGATCTTGGCATTCCAGTCGTTCAGCATTTACCAGGTGCGTGCAATTGTTTTTTTTGCTTTGAGGGACAGCAACTAATGCAGGTTGTCACAAGCGCAGGTCTGCACAGGTAATTTCTGAACTGTGGATGAGATTTAAACAGACCTGTATTATGTAGTTGATCTCCCTTCTCTGTGTTGTCACTCAGGTGTTGGTAGTAACCTGCAGGATCACCTGGAGCTTTATGTCCAGCAGCAGTGCACTCAGCCCATCACCTTGTACAAGGCCCAGAAACCTTTCCATATGATAAAGATAGGCCTTGAGTGGCTCTCCCTGTTCACAGGTAACTCAGACCACCCACACAAGTTCTCGTAACTGATTTACAAAATGCATTTCGCCTGTGTGCGTGTTTGTCATTACCTGCTTCAGTCAGACTCTTTCTGTTAGCAAAATATCTCATGAAAAAAAATAAAAGATTTTAATGAAAATCACAAAAACATTTGAAGTCAACCCAATTCAGGATGGCCACCACAGCTAATGCGCCTTAGCAAAAACAAAAATGGCTGAATCATGCAAGTTTACAGATAGTGAGGTAAAACTGCGTTTGCTAGTAGCTGAGAGTCATTTTCAGACTCTCATGCTATTAAAACACAGACTTAATGAAAATAAGTTTTAGCAGTTTTTCTTCAGACTAACTATAGTGTTCATTTATTCTGCAGATGATAAGCTTGTTAAATTGCAGGGGACATCATTTTTTGTAATAAATATAAATATAGTCTTGGAAAGATGACATAAATAACGTATTACAAAAAAATTACATCACTGAGATGAACAGTTGATATGTTTGCATGTGAAGTAGCAGGAAGTGATGTCAAATGGAATGTCTGCATGTGAACAGAGTTTTGCTGCAAGAATCTGATGTTTCTATAGATTATTTTGAGCCACTCTCAGAGACCTTTCAATAAACAAAAGGCTGTGTCTCAATTCATGGGCTGTGTCAGATGAGCACGTAGCCCAGCTGGGCCACATCCTCCCCGGGCCGGGTAGGTTGCTCAAAACCGTTGTGAAATGAGACGGTCTACCCTTCGTCTGACGATGGCTTTACGTAAGTTTGCGTGACCACGCCTGTTGTGGAAATCTTTATTTAACAAAGACAGAAACACGAGGTCCAAGAATAAAAAGCACTCTGTTGAATGGTCGTCTGAGTTTTATTGCATTTGCAAGACACACATCATGTCACACAGGCTAGTGGTACATAGAATGTGTGTACTGAGGCAGTCTCAAATACACTCATTTATACTGCATGTTATCCATACCAGACAATAACTCCTCTCTTGGCGCTGGTGCTGGGCCAAGGAGAGCATGATATTTGATAAACTATCCAGCAAGAATGATTACTTCTAACAGATTTTGTCCTGATCTTAAAACACTTTGATAGAAAACAGAAGATAAACAGTTAAATCATAAACTCTGGTGACATTTAGGTCAGCAAAAGAGGTCACTGACTCTTGGCCTGAGAAGAATCTGGGAGGAAATGTATAAATAAATTTTCTATGACAACTCCCTACCCCTTTACCATAGTGATTATTTTCATAAATGTATTGGGACATTGACATTCTCGGGACAAGAATAACTTCAAAGTTAAAACGTTACACGTAAATAAATTAAAAAAAAAAACATTAATAATTCGGGTTTAGCTCCGGTATCAACAATTGTAGTTGCATTTTTTATTTAACATTTTATTGCAGCATTCATTTCATCAGCTAAGTTGCTAAACTTACTTTTGTAAACAAATTCTTCGGTCTGTGGCGAATTTCCAAACTATGCCGACTCATTTAAAAAAAATAAAAAGTCCACTGTCTTTGTTTCTCTGTTCCTTTTGCTGCTGGCGCATTGAATCCTGGGATTTCCTTGGCCGGTGAGGGTACACAGACACATCCTCAGATTTCAAGAGTTTGTCGGCCGCATGAGGAGGAGTCTTGGAATTGGGACAGCACTCGGCGCGGGGCAGTGACGTATGCGGCCAACAAATGCGCACTCATGATGACCCAGCCCATGAATTGAGACACAGCCAAAGACCACAGAGTTCCCTTTGATGTCACTTCCTGTTTCTTTCTGGCTGAGCCGAATTCAAAAGAAAATATTCCAGTAATGTGACAAAATGGGTAAAATTGTGGTTTCTTAAATATAAAGTGTTTTCTTTGACTTTTTGTAAAGGATATGCATGTCACAGACACTTTAAACCTTTTTTGTTTAATTTCTTTACAGCATAAAAAATACACAGAAAATGTAAATCTGAAAGTCTTTCAGCTGATCCACTAAAGGCCTACCTTCTTAGAAGTACTTCTTTTTTTATTTGCTAGATAACAGATTGAAGAGCTGGTGTTAAAAAGGGAAACAAAAATCACCCTGTTGTTCACATTCTGGTTTCTGAGAATCTTGTCAGAGTAGGCCTTATGGACTTTTCTGTGAAATGGTTTCTGAGGTGATAGTGCAGATTGAGAGCTGAAAAAGGCAGGAAAGTAAGACGTGGCTCAGCAGGTAGGAAAATTAGTCCAGGGTAAGATTACTGTGACGGATATTTGATTTTATTTTGGTCTTATGGTGCAGCATCTCATTGATTCACTTTCTGTGACTGTACTCCTCCAGGTTACGGAGCTACATCCCACTTGGAGAGCGGAGGGTTCATTCGAAGTCGGCCAAAGGTCGCACACCCGGACATCCAGTTTCATTTCCTGCCCTCGCAAGTCATTGACCACGGACGGGTTCCATCAGAAATTGAGGCTTATCAGGTGTGTTTCCATAATTCAGCATGTGGCTCGTTGTCGTGACATGCTTGTATTTAATTATAATTTTACGACTTTATATGTTGGCAGCTGAACACACAGTACATTGTCTCGCCCTTAAATAACTCCACTCATAATACCTGTCAGTTTAACAAAGGTGTATTTACAACGGATGATTCTATGGAAAGATTAGTGTGCCAAGAAATTATCTTGGGTTTTCCCCAGAATTTACCTGAGAGACAACCTGTTCTAGAGAAGTGCACCCACCAGGGATAATAAAAGCCTAACAAAAAAAAAAAAAACAGTGGTTGCTTTTGTAGTTTAACTTCTCATTACTGTGGAAAGATTTAGTAGAAACTCTGGGAAAATACAATTTTTTCTTTATAGCTGCTTTTGATTTTGGAGATAAATTGTATGCATTTATCTGAAAAAAGAAATGCATAACTTTAACTTAATGTAACTTTTATACCCAGGTGCTACAGTCTGGCACCAACACAACTTTGCCAATAACATGTTGATATGAATTAAGAAAGATTTAAATTTTAGATGATATTTTGTTGGAGAACTTATTTTTCAATGTTGTAGGTTCACGTTGGACCAATGAGAAGCACGAGTATCGGATGGATGAAGCTGAAAAGCACCAGCCCTCTGGATCACCCGATTCTTCAGCCCAACTATCTCTCCACGGGTAAGTTTATTTCTGAGCAGTTGTGGAGAACTTTGTGTTATACAGAGTGGCGTTTGGTTGAAACACGTGTCCATCATCTCTCCTCTTCCTAGAAATCGATGTGTGGGAATTCAGGCAGTGTGTCAAACTGTCCAGAGAGATTTTTGCCCAAAAGGCTTTTGACCCATTTCGTGGTCCCGAATTCCAGCCGGGTCCTCAGGTCCAATCCGATGCCGAAATCGACGCTTTCGTGCGCCAAAAGGCTGACAGCGCCTACCACCCGTCCTGCACCTGCAAGATGGGCTCTCCCTCAGACCCGATGACGGTCGTGAACTCGAACACACAGGTTCTGGGTCTGGAGCGGCTGCGCGTGGTCGACGCCTCCATCATGCCCAGTGTGGTCAGCGGGAACTTGAATGCGCCGACGATCATGATCGCAGAAAAGACGGCTGATAAGATCAGAGGTCGTCCTGCTCTTGTTGATCCAGAGGTTCCTGTGTACAAACCTCCGACACTTGAGACACAGAGATGAGCAGAGAGGAGCTCACACAGTTCCACTAATGTCTCTGTGGGTTATTTTACTTTACAATCAATGAAGCAGACGTGAGTAGCTGATCAGAGAGATTAAAAATTTCTAATATTTTTTATAACGCTATCCTAAAACAGACATTCTCCATGTCCTCAAATCTAACATTTATCCCATCCACTGGATGCCAGTTAAACACTAATTAAAAATGAACACTTGGAGAGCGCACACCTCTGCCAGGACCCTAGGATACAGCTGGTCCAAAATTTACTCATTTGTTTTTTGTGACAACCTCAACATTTCCAAGCTGTCAAAAACATAACATCCACAGAGGTAAAAATTTGGTGGCGCTTTTCAATGCAAGCAGGTCAGGTTTGATAAAATGCTTTTTAGCCTAAATATACCGAGCAGTTCACAGTCTTAAGGTGTCATTCCCTCACCCAAAACATCCCCAGAGTGTTGCTTTGACTCATTCATGCACGTGTGAGAAACCCTTGAATCTCCTGTGGTAGCCACGTGGAGCTGCTTACTGGTACAAAGCTCCGCCCATTTGTGCCTAACTCCTCCCTGGAGCTCGGTCTGCAGCTGAGCTACCGCTCCAGAGAGTACCCCTACCCCGAAGCATTGTTGTGAAGATGTGCTGAAGTTGGAGTGTCAGAAATAGTAGGAGGTTTTTAAAGAGACAGGCTATTATGCAAAGTTAAATTACTTTTTGTTATATACAGCATTTGCATAACAACTGAATGTGACACAGTTACTTGATTGTGGTGTAAAATTGAACTCTGTGCCTGGAAAATACATAATACCCCCCAACTAAAAGTACCCTCCGCCAAGACCCAATCCAGCTGGTCCAAAATAAAATAGTTTGTTCTTCATGACAACCTCAACATTTCCTAGCTGTCAAAACATAACCTCCTTTGGGGTATACATCTGGTGATACTTTTTAATGTAAACAATTTGTCAAGTTTAATGAATTGCTCATGAGCTTAAATATACTGAGCAGTTCATAGTCTTAACTACACCTGACTTTTAGGCTGTAGCTGTTTCTAAACCTATGATTAACCTAATGATGTAATAAAAATGTTGTTTGTACCATTTAAACTAATATGGTTCAGAAAACATTTTACCCATGATTTCTGTCCAGGTTCTGATTTTGCATTTACAGTATTATCAGCACACGTATGTGATTAAATGTGATTTCCACCTGCTGTCGGCCACAAGCCAAAATGCTGTGCAGACATTTTTATCTGATAATCAGCAGCCTGCAGTTTTTACCCACATGCTCTCGGCAGCACCGTGCAGTTCCGTTCAGGTCAGATGTGATCAAAGAAACATTTATCTTCCTTGCTGAAAACTGCAGCTTCAACATTTCCAGTGATTTATTGTCTTGAAGTCGTTGCTCCGATTTCATATCAGCAGGAAGGAGGTTGTGTTCGGGTGAAACTCTTTGTCTTCAAAAATAATGACGTCTCTTAGTATTCGTGTGAGTCCTATCTGGACCTGGAAAACATCAATATTCTTGACCTTGTTGCCAAAGCAAGAAGTGGCTAAAAGTAAGATGAAAACAGTGTGTGCAGTGTCAAAAAGTACAAGCAGTTAATGAACACTTAATTTTTCAATGCACAAGTCTCTTAAATTGCTCGAATTTGTGGATCTTTTACCAAATACTTAATAATCGTATTTAAAACGATCAAACCTGCCTGCTTATGATAAAACCTAAATGTTTCTATACACTAAAAAAACTTTAGCATTGTATTTGTGCCTTTTTTTTTGCTAAATGATTGTTTACAATGACAACTTTGTCAATGATTGTGAAGAAATATTCTTTCAGTAAGAAAAAAATTACCAGTGCCTTTTTGAATGATCACAATGTGATGTCAGTATTAATTCCTGAGTCAGCATATATAAACATGCTGAGAGTTTGATTTTGTTTTTCTGATTATTTGAAGTCTTTTGTCACACTTCACCATATTCTGTAGTTAATTATGACATGTTTATCTTAGATAATATTCAAAACTGTAGCATCTGTTTACATTTTATTGCATCATAGGTGAATTATGTGTAATAGATTTATTATAATTAAAGATGTGAATCACTAAATGTGAATCAAAAAGGGAAATGTGTTTTCAACATGACAGAACTTTGTATATTTTGTGTATTGATTGTCAGCAGACCATGTTTACCTCCGTCCTCACAACTTTATTCATTACAAAATACAACAGCTTCATTTCAGGCAAAAAAAAAATCTGTTGTACAAAACAGGGATTTTGCTTTTATTGGTACAAAATCTATAAGGTACTAGTCCTTATGCTACAAAGTAGTTGGAAATTATTTGAAAATGTTCATACAAGTAGGTAGAAAGCAGAAATCTTCAAGCTCTTTGTTTTTTTACAAACACTATACAGATTTTTATACACCATCTTTTCATGGACATCTGTAAAGCAGTGGAACGGTAGAAAAATAAAGCTGTGTTGCACAACAAAGCCTTTTGTTTGTTGATACAACTAATTGTTTTACTCCAAATTACTGGGTTATCAAATTAAATAAAACCTTTTGTGTTTAGCCCTGCCACAAACCAAGGCTTTAACCTGGAGACATTGTTACAGTTGGCAGCGATGGAAACAAATATTAGGAAGTGCTGCCAAGTTTCAGTGGTTTTATCAACATCTAGATGTGTTCTACATTTACCTGCATGCAGTCGAAATGAACAAAGACGGCCTTAATATAAAAAAAAGTCTGGCTTTTGTTTGTGGCTTGTTACATGCACAGAATGTAAAAAAAAATAATGACCAGAACCTAAGTGGGATTTTGCGTCTCATCATGGTTTTAGAGGAATCTCACAGATAAAAGCTAATAAATGTGGAAATCAAAGCAGCATTTAAGTAGATATTTAAACAAATCAGACTTTTTTTAAAACCGTGGAATGGTCAAAGATACTATCTTATTTCTATAACCAAAAACATTTTAGTAGCTGAAGTTTTTTGCAGCAGTGGAAGATTAATGAGCCACAAATTCACACAAACAGAAACATGATTTACGGTTATGTTCAGTATAAACTTGTTTCTATCTTTTCCCAAAATTAGCTCAAAATGACATATTGCATAATCTAAATTGCAGGTAACAATAGAATCAGTCTGTAACGTTATCCCATCATAAATGCTTTGTTTGCAGGGTAATCCAAAAATCGGTGTAGAGGAGGACAGAATTTTGCAAGCACGCAAAATAGGAGGATATGCCTGAGGACAATTTTGTTTCTATGATATGTTTTTTATTCTTTTTCTTTTTTTTTCAAGTCAAACCTGTTTAAACCCTGAATGCTCGAGCTGTGAACCCCACAGCAGCTCCAGCTGTTATGGCTTTGGATCAGCCTGATTTAAAATACGCTGAAAGAAGTGAACAAAAATATAGGATTACTTCAAGGTTTGTTTGTTTTGTTTTTTGTAATTTTTTTCTTTTTCCAGGCAAATAAAAATGTAATGCATTATAACGTAATGCAGAAAAATAGTAAAATCACACATGTACAGCTGAATTCAAGGAATCTTGAAACTGTTGGGCAGTTCTGAAAAAAAAAAAACGTTGCAGCAAACTTGCCTTTACTTATCTGGCATAGGCAATCACCTTGAACTAGTACACTGAAAAGTAGTCTGAAAAGTGTTTTATTTTCACAAAAATAGTTTGAAATTTATTCCACGTGATTAAAATGGTGGCACACATTTATTGTTTTACTGGCTCTTCGTGTTGATTAAACATTCGGACTTATGACCTTGTTTAGTGTGAAGTCGCAACTTTGAAATGAAAGCTGAATTAAACCATCCTCTAAACTGAAAACTAAACTGATGTATCAAATATTGTAAAGAAAGAAAATAGCTTCGAAATCCTGCTGAACAAAAAAGCTGGCAGTTAAATTCATGCTTTCTGCTTTCAGTTATAGCAGAACTTTATTATAATCCCACGTTTACTGAATTCACTCAGAGAGAGAAAACAAGGCACTTTGCTCTCCAGTTCATCCCTGTTTCGTTTATTTCTGTCCTTCAGGGCATCTGAGATATCCCCCTCACTGAGGAACGATTGGTTAAAGTTTAATTTAAAAACACTAAAAAAAAATAATCTGGTGTGAGCCGGTGCTATAGTGAAGTGATGCATATCATCTCATCCGTCAGGTCCTCCTCGCATTTCACAGCCACGTACGGCTCCTCGTCGCTGAAGTCGCGGTGGTCCCTCAGGTGCGTGCCGGTTTGGGAGTCCGAGTCACCGTTCCCCGCGCCCCCCGTGCCGCCGTTCAGCAGGTTGCTGGCGGCGCTCTCCATCTCATCGATGGTCATCTCGCAGGCGTCTGCGATCTCGTGCTTCGTTGCCGACACAAACTTTGGGTCCCGGGCGTATTCTGCCAGACCCTCTGAGATCAGAACCTGGAAGCGGTACGAGAGGAACATTTAGAAAAAGCTGGTTTGTTCTTTGTAAAATAGCTTGAGACACAAGCCTGCCTCTTTGAAAGCAGAGCATAAAACCTAGGAGTGCTTTCCAACTTTCTGACTGGCTCAACGCGCTAACCCTTTGGATGCTTCACCAAACCACAGCTGCTCCGTAACTAAACGAGCCACAATCTTTCACTCACAGCTTCCACCAGACTGTTGGCGCTGCGTCTCTTCTGCTGGAAGTGCGCACAGCTCTCTGCAGGTAACTGCAGACGTGACGGGGAGTGGCTGCGACTGGGACAGCCATCTTGGCCATCTGTGTACCACGAACTCCTCTTCGTGGCTCCAGGGATGCTGCCAACGCTGCCAGAACTCCGCCAGTCCACCTGATCGCGTAAAAAAAACACACACTTATGTGATCAAAACCTTTACAATGCAACAATGTTTTCCTCTGAGGTAATGTTAGATGTGATCATCTTCTGTCACCTGAATGAGCGGCGTGTAGGAAGGCGAGCAGTCACAGCTGATGGGGGAGGCAGGGGGCGTGGCCCACGAGCGCAGCGACCTCGTTGGTGAAAGCCGTTGAATTCTGCTGGCATCCAGACCGGCTACTGCCATCACCTGAATAAAAGAGTAGAAACAAAACTAACAGCTGCAGCGTGCTAAACAGTAAAAGCTGTGTGTGTGTGTGTGTGTGTGTGTGTGTGTGTGTGTGTGTGTGTGTGTG